CTGACTCTGAGGGAAGGAGGAGGCTGCCTGAAGTCAGTGGATGCCTGGAAGACTAGAGCACTGCCAGTGCGGTTCCGGAGCACAATCAGATGTATTTGGAGACTCTCAGAAAGTCTTAAAGGGACATCAGAGGAGTTGGATTCCTGTGTTAGTTAGCAGGAGCACAGGTAGATGAAAATTATCTATTTTAATGAATCATCTGTGGTTTTAATATCTTGGGATTAGAGTTTAAACACTCCTGCAGGCAATAGAGCAAACACTCCTGTTCCTGGTGAAATATATTTTTTTTTTTTTTTTTTTTTTTATTTTTATTTAAATTTTTTATTGGATTATAGGTTTTGGGGTACATGAGCAGAGCATGCAAGACAGTTGCGTAGGTACACACATGGCAGTGTGCTTTGCTTTTCTTCTCCCCTTCACCCACATTTGGCATTTCTCCCCAGGCTATCCCTCCCCACCTCCCCCTCCCACTGGCCCTCCCCTTTTCCCCCCAGTAGACCCCACTGTTTAGTACTCCCCTTTCTGTGTCCATGTGTTCTCATTTTTCATCACCCGCCTATGAGTGAGAATATGCAGTGTTTCATTTTCTGTTCTTGTGTCAGTTTGCTGAAATGAAATATATTTTAAAACATCTCTGTCAGATGATCATTTAGCTTTTGCCTGGATATTTCTAGTCATGATCACTTGAAGGAAGGGTCATTTCCAATCCTTAGATTATAAATATCATAGGTCGGACAAAGATTCCTTCCCTAGACTTTATTAACTGGGTATCAATCACTTGTAAAAACCCACTAAATCCTTCAAAATGTTGCAAATCAGTAAAACAATAATTGCTTTTAACTTACAAAATTATTATATTCCTACAGGAGGTAAGGATAATAATTTAAAAGAGCATGATAATCTTCTCGCCACCAAGAAATTAATTATTGTGGTGAGACAAATTTTCTAATCACATTGTTATTAGAAGAGCAGTGCATACAGTATGTTGAAAACACCTATATCTGATTTACAAAAAGTTGTATATTTTCATTATAATGCTTATAAAATTGTAATGTGTTTTAAAAAATTTTTATTTAATGCCTGATCAGTACAAAAATGAAAACACAACTAGGGGGAAAAAAATGGACACTGAACCAGGCAATTCACTTAAGTGGCCACTAGGTTGTGCTGGTGACTCAGTAACATTGTTTAAACAAAAAAAAAAAAAAAAAAAAAAAAGGATAATTTTGTTTGAGATTTCATTTTTCACATCTTTCTCAGGCCCCTAACATGTATAGCCATGGGTTTTACATAACTCCTTCCATGAAAATTTAAACTCCTTGTTTAAACATAAACTTTTTAAAAAAGCTGTCCTTTGGAGCAAAATTTAAACAGGTTGAATTTATTTAATTTGCAAAATCCATTAAGCCCTTTCTGTATTGCACGAAGGAGAAGAATAGCTAAGATATGACAATTACAATACAAGTCATATGCACAAATACAGGCAAGTAATTCCAATATGATAGATCACTGTGACACTAGCTCTACGTATTTTTGTTGTTCTTTTGCTTACTGCTCTATTCCAACACCTAGAACATATTAGGAGCCCAATAAATATTTACTGTATGGTGAACAATTAGATGAATTCATTATTATACAATAGTTGTACAGTCTATGGTATAAATGTATTCCTATAAAACAGTGTTTATAACCATAATAAAATCATTTGATAAAAATACAAACTTTACAAATATCCAAGACTATATATTCCAAAGAAATAATAGCCTTACTTTCAATTCATTGGAATAAATGTTAAGAAGATAGTATCTATCGTTTCTGCATTCTTACCAGAACAATTTGTATTACTAAGTTGTATTACAAAATTGTTTGTACTTATTTCAATATATAAAATAACATGATAATGTCTTTTATTTTTAACTGCACACAATGTCTCTAAAAAGTGACAGATTCCCAGAATTAGATCGGCTTCGTTGTGAGAGCTACTGTTGAAAACAAACCATGATTAACTGTTTCTTTGTAGCAAACCTTATTTATCCAACCCTGGGGACAAACCTTTTAAGAATACCTGCATGTGTCCACTTTTGCTTACAAATCGATACAGACTATATCTCACATATAGGGATTTTTGAAGACCATTTTTGTGATCACTCTTTCATGTTGATTGCCAGTCATTTCTCCAAATTGTCATTCTCTACTTTTCGATTTCTCTGTTTCGTACTATTGCTTTCTACTCCTTTCTGGAATGTCATGTGTCTTAGTGCAATAAAAAAAGCACAGCAGTTGAAGCCAGATAAAGAAATGTTTAAAAATGGAATCTGCCACCTTCTGGGGACCTTCAGCTGATTCCTTAATTCTGAATAGCAATTTACTCATAAGATGTCATAAGATGACAGCCAGCAGAATGCACGTTATTTCTGCCTTCTAAGAAGCACGACAGGTGGGAGCTACAGGGAAAGGTATTTAATCCACTCCATGCAGTTTCAGGATTAAAAGATCATTAGTGCTAAGAAACTATGTTTACAGTTAAGAAAACAACGGAACTTCATTCTGTAGATAGACCTCTGGTCCTTAGCTAAAGAGAGTATGCTGTCTTTTTTACTCTATCAACTATGGAGCACAGAATATTTATCCAAACTTTGGAAATAGCTAGAAGATAAAAGAAGCTATAAATTTACATGAACAAGGCAGTAATAATGCTATAATACAGCATGATTATATTAGCAATATAATAAAAAAAGAAAAGCCGTGAATTTTGCAGAGTACTTTGATGAACACCATAGATCCTTTGAAATAAAAGGAAAAAGAGCCAACAAAGTTTTTAGTTCTAGCTTAGAAAGGAAAAAAAAAAAGATGTACAAACTTCAAATTAGTTCTATCAAGTACTATTTTATAAAGCAAATTTAATCAGTAATGGGTGATAAATTTGAATAAGCATCTTTTTAGCATGCATGAAATGCTCGCTAGATTTTTATCCTCAGTTGTATTTTTAAAATGTTATATTAGTAGATTTCCTAATGTTGAATCATCCATGAATCTATGGAATAAATCTCACTTGGATATGATTGATGAGTTACTCTTTTTTGCTGCTGCTGAATGTTTGCTAATATTTTATTTAGTACTTCGTATTGATATTCTAAGTAATGTTTGTCTGTAGTTTTCTTTTGCATATACAGTCTTTTCAAATTTTGGATCAACGTTGTGCTCACTTTGTAAAAATGACTTGGGAGGGAGTTTTCTCCTGTTTTAAGTTCTGAATTAGCTATTCTGTAATTATCCATTCTGTGGTAGACTTCTCCTGTGAAACCATCTGGGACAAGTAATGTTTGTGATATAACTGGCAACTTTTTTCATTGTTCCTATGGAACTTACTCTTTAAATCTTCTATCTGATTCAGAATTCATTTTCTTTAATTATATTTTTCCAGAAAATAGTCCATTTCATTCAGGCCTTTTATTTCACTTGACTAATATTCAAAAATGTAGTTGTTTTAATGTCCTCTATTTCTGTGGTTTCCAGTCTTTTTAATTTTTTATTTGTTCTTTCTTTTTCTCTGAATTAGGATAGCCACTGATATATATTATTAATGTTGAAAGAACAAGCTGATGAATGTATTTTTATCTCTACTGTTATTGTTTTCTATTCAATATTTTCTGATTTTAACTTTATTAATTCCTACTCTGTTTTCTTTTAATTTTACTATGTCTTTTTCTGACCCATTGAGTTGTTTAATTTATTTATCTCTACTGCTTGTTTAATATAATATTTAAAATATTTGTCTGTTTTAGGTGTATACTATCTCATAAATTATAAAAGATTATATTTTCATAGCTTTGTTCTAGACATTCCGTAATTTTATATTTTTTTGACCTATGAGTAGTTTAAAAGAGAATGTTAAATATCAAAGTAATAAAGTGTTTTTGTTTTCTAATTTTATAACTAAGCTTTAGTTTTATTGCATAATGATCAAAGAACATTGATGGGACTATTTTTAATATATTAAATTTATTGAAGTTTGCTTTTGTGACCTAATATTTATTCTTTATGCAACTGTTTCTTTGACCTTTTGATTAAAAGGTATGTTTTTAGCATCTAGGACACCGAACTACACACAAAAAAAGAAATAAAAAAATTGAATGTTTATATAGAAAAACTAATTTATATACATACATAAATTAGATTTATCTCTCTATTATCTTCTTGATGTTTTCTATATCTTTTATCTTTCTATAAACCTGTTTTATCTGAGACTAAAAGTGGTAATTTAAAGTTCCCTTCCAATAATGTTTATTTCTCTTATAAGTCCTGATGTTTTACTATTTGGTGCATATAGAGTCATAACCATTACATATTTATTGTAAATTGATCCTATAACATTATAAAGTTTTGCGTTTAACATTTTTTGGCTGAATTTTCATCCTGACTGAAACTCAGCCTGTTTGTTTGCTTGTTTGTTTATATTTACCTGGTATATCTTTAACCACCATTTTATTTTCAATCTTTCTGAACCTCCTGGGTATAGATGGGTTTCTTGTATGCCACCTGGAATTGTATTCTGCTCTTTGATCCGATCTGACTCTTGTTCTTTTGACAGAGAAGTCAGAACATTCACCTTTTTTAAATTTACAGACAAAATTGTGTATATTTATCATGTACAGCATGATATTTTGAAGTATATTTACAATGTAGAATGGTTAAATCTAGCTAGTTAACACATACATTGCCTCACATGGGTGTCATTTAATATACAGTCTCCCTGATTCTCAGGAGACATATTCTAAGACTCCAGCAGATACCTGAAATCACAGATAGTACCAAACCCTATTTGCCATCAATTGCAACACCATTCTTTCTGCTCATGTCTTCCACGTTTTTCTGTGAAATTGTTAGTCCCCTAACATAAATTTTTTATGTTAGTTCACCATGAGCCTCTGTCCATGACCCTTGTATTTTTGTCACAGTTCTCCAGACTGAAAGAATCAATTGGATATAGATGGCTCAGAGATATAAATATAGATTCGATACAGATACAGATAAATAGATGAGAGGGGATTTATTAGGGAAAATGGCTCAAATGATTATGAAGACAGAATTTCTATGAGAGGCTGTCTGCAAGCTGGAGATTCTGAAATGCCAGCAGTGTAGACCAGTCTAAGTCTGAAAACCTCAGAACCAGGAAAGCCAATGGGGTCACTCTCAGTCCAAGCCCAAAGACCTGAGAATCCAGGAAGCACTCGTGTTAGTCCTGGAGTCCCAAAAAAGAACCTGGAGTTCTGATGTCCAAGGACTGGAGAACAGTTTCCTAGCTCCAAGAGAGAGGAAATTCTTTCCTCTGCGCTTTCTGTTCTACCTGGCCCCTAGCTGATTTGATGATGCCCGCTCACATTGAGGGCAGGCTTTCCCCACTCGGTCCACTGACTCACATGCTAACCTCCTCTAGAAACACCCTCACACTCACACACCTAGAATTTCTCTAAGTGTTCCTTAATTCAGTCATGCTGACACCTAAAATTAACAAGGATAGCCCTGTTTGAGTTGTACTTTGTGTCCTCTCAGACGCTCTGTGCTTCAGATGGTTTCCAGTAACCCATTACCAGAGCGAGAGGGGTCATTTCAAATCAGAAGAAAATGAGAACATTACTTATTAGAAGTCCTTGTGCTAAAAGTGCAGAAACAGCTCTAATGTGGGAGATTTGGCAATATTAATCACTCACTCCCCCTTTCTGGTGGGGTCTAATTAGTGAGAATGAGTGGAGCCAAAAGAGGATGAAAATATCACTGCATCTTTATTCATAGCCATGCTGAAGAGGCAAATATGTCAGGACTCACACCTCCCTCTCAGAACCTGGACACTAATTTAACCCAGTAGAAGACAGGAGTAGAGGTCTGGAATGAAATAGCACAGATCTGGCTTATCCTCACACTAGCTTGCCTTACGTTAGTACAAATAGTTTCTTGATGAAGACACTGGGCACATTTCCATCAATGACCAACTTGTCAGTCTCTTCCAATCTTATCTGTGGACCAAATAAGAAAGCAAAAATATGGATAGAGAGTATTCACTTCTGAATTGCTCCCTACTGGCAGGTAGTATTCTACCCTTTGGTGGATACTGCTAGGTGTCTACACAGTAGCCATGTTAGCACCTTCTTCCTTAGCAACAAATTCTACTTTTTAAGGATGGTAATGTAATCAAGTGATATGCTAAGTTTCTCAGCCTCCTTTGCAGGTAGGGATGGCTAATAACTTGTCAGTAGCAGTCATACATTAAATAAGTAAAGTACCCATTTGCTTATGCTCACCCCTGTGTCTTGAAATATGGACAAAATCTTAAGTGCTCTGGTGGCCATCTGGAAATCATGATGCATTATTGAGAATGAAGTCACTAGCTAGACAGAAGAGAAAAGAGAGAGAGAGAGAGAGAGAGACTGAGGGCTTGATGAGTCAGCACTGTCAAATCAGTCCTGGACTGTCCACCTCTGGATGTCTTTTATGTTGGAAAACAATAAGCACTTATATGTTTCAGTCACTGAAGTCAGGCTTTTATAACCAGCAGCTGAAGCAGTTTGTAAATGATACATTTCTGTTATGGAAGTGTGAGAGGAGAGAGGATACTATGCATCTAAGCTGAATGTTAACACTGAGTCAGCCACGAACATCCTCTCATCTGCCTCATGAGCACAAGAAACCACCTTTTTTCCTTCCAAAGATCCACCGGAAGTTGTCCTTGTACTTTAAGCCTTCTTATTTGGAGGGTCGCTTACCTGTCTTCTCCCACCTGGTTAGAAAAGTGAATGACAACAGTTTACTCTTTCTGATACTCCAAAACTATGCCATTGCTTAATCGTTACATAATCCTATTTGAACATCAACGATAATAATTCTTTCATGTTTCCAATTTACAACTGATTACAGATTCAGATTGTAGCTCAGGGTCAGAGTAATAGGTTTGAAAGTCACCGTAAAATGCATGGTTGTTGAAGGCACCTGAGTCAGAGAGATGCCTCAGGAAGAACCCAGAAGAGAAGGAGACCGAGAACTGAACCTAGAAAAGTCCCAACCTTAAGGATGCTTCCTAGAGAAAAAAAAAAAAAAGTAGTCTTGCTAGAAATCAAAATATCATGATGTCATGAGATGACAGAATTGTGGTCTTGTGACAGACAGACTCACTTCAGGACACATCTGACGCTCAGTTTCAAATTACGTCTCTGTTACTGTAATGCAACAGCCCTCAACCCTGCTTCTATTTGTTTAACACTGAGAACAAACAACTCCTTAACATCAACCCACACAGTGTGCCAGATGACCTACCCTTGGTTGGAGACAGAAGTGCAGGCCTTCTGAATTTACTCAATGTATTTTCTGTGAGAACAATAAATGCTCTTATTTGGCTGTTATAAGAGCCATGAAAAGTCTCTCTGAGTTTTTGTCATGTCAGAGCCTCAGTAACAACGGAACTTCTTTCCAAAAGATTCAAGCCAGTGTCTCATTAAGTCAAACATACTTTCACGGCTACTCACCCCAGTGCCAATATGCAGTGAATGCAGGGAAATTTATTCTTGGACTTCAATGCATTTATTATGTAATTGTTCCTTTCCATTCATATCCTATGCCCTGACTTATTTCTTGTTCCTACTCATTTATACCAATGGAAATTGTTTTTTTTTCCTTTATCCATATCAAAGTAGATTGACTTTTGTCCTTCCTTATTCTTGATTCTTTTCTAATATCCCAAGACCCCCATGGACCTAGACACAGACAGTCCACTGGGTGGTGGGTTTCAGCAAGGCCCAGAAGACTGACCAGCAGTGGTTGAGTAAGGATTAAATCAATTCCAATAAATGAAGTAATATATTTAAGGTACCTCAAACAGTGCACAAACACATAGTGCAAGTCACTAACTGAGTAACTGTTATGTGTCATTATTATCGTAATCAAGGAATAATCCAGGTATCAGAGTTTTTCTCCTTCTCCAAGGATCTTCTTTCTCTAGCAGATTTGGAGAAGATAGAGTTTGTCTCACTCGCCTGTCAGTCAGTCATGTGCTGTGGGTGCTTCTCTGCCTTGCTTTCAGCTCTCCCTCAGAATGTCTCCTGGCCACAAGCTGGAGCACTGAGCTTTTCAATTGAGAACAGCAGAATCCTTAGCAGAGTAATACAAAGTGGTCTTTGGCACTCTAAATCCCCATCCCTTCCAGACTCCCTGAGAGTGGGAAGTGTAATATGACTCCTCTTTCTGATTCTGTATTGATTAACTATAATACATACACACACACATTGCCAGAACTGTAAAACTGAAATCCACTTTAAAGAATAAGAAACCTTCCTAAAATTCAATAGTGTGTTCAGTATCTCCAGAGCAAGATAGAGGGCACATTTTACAGATCATGCAAATCTGTGCAAGTTCTTTGTTTTTTTCTTCCAGCCTGAGTCCCCAGAGCCTAAGAAGTTGGCCCAGTTACAGAGGATCACTTACCCCTGATTACCATTCCAAGGCCCAGATGTTTTAAAACTTTGAAATAAAAGATTTGGGTTTTGATTTATCCTTACACAACAGATCATAGAAAGTTCTTGGGTGAGGGTTTCTGTTGTGTACCTACATGTGTATAAAAGGGAGGGTTTATGACCTTCCTGACCAAGCAACTCCCTGAAGAGCTGGAAGATTGTTAGCATTGGCACTAAGGTATCTACCTTTGATCTTTGATAAGTCTGCTCATGTAACTAAAGAGAAAACACTCCTCAACCTTTATACCACCACCTACCCCTTGTTCTAACTAGAAGTGTTCTTGCTCAGAAAAACAGTTTTAGCCTATCAAGAAAAGAATGGAAGACATGGAGCCTTATCTTACTCATCTCTTGGTCCTAATGCAGAATTGAGTAAACAAAAGCACTTCATAGACACTAAGTTGCATGCAACGAGCCAGTTTAAGTGTTGCAAAATGATATAATCCTCAAAGAGAGTATAGGAAAGAGATTTCCAATTTTTTTTTTTTTTTTTTTTTTTTGAGACAGAGTCAGCTCTGCCAGGCTGGAGTGCAGTGGCACAATCTCAGCTCACTGCAACCTCTGCCTCCTGGGTTCAAGCAGTCTCCTTCCTCAGCCTCCCATGTAGCTGGGACTACACATGTGAGTCAGCACGCCCAGCTAATTTTTGTATTTTAGTAGAGATGAGGTTTCACTATGTTGGCCAGGATGGTCTTGATCTCTTGACCTTGTGATCTACCCGCCTCGGCCTCCCAAAGTGCTGGAATTACAGGTATGAGCCACTGCACCCAACTGAAATTTCCAATTTTTAAAAGTGGAGAGGAGACCCTCTTTGAGGAAAAGGATTAAAATTCCTCCATCTATAGATAGAAAGACACTTGAGTACCATGCTTAGCGAGGTCAGTTTCCAGTGATACAAAGAGACCCATTAGAAGAGCACTATCTTCAAGGTTTTGCCCAGGGCAAGTTTAACATCCTTATTCCTCAAACTGTAGATCAAAGGGTTAAGCATGGGAACCACATTGGTGTAAAAGACTGAGGCAAATCTTCCATGGTTCATAGAGCCTGGAAAAGATGTTGTTAAGTAGGTGAATGCCCCTGACCCAAAAAACAGAGCAACAGCAATTATGTGGGAGCCACATGTGCCAAAGGCTTTGGATCTGCCCTCTGCAGAAGGAATATGGAGGATGTTGGACAGTATCAAAGCGTAAGAGATGATGATGCTTAAGCTGGACAGCATGATGGTTATTCCAACAACAATGAAAAACACCAGCTCGTTGACATGGGTGCTGGTGCAGGAGAGCTGCAAGAGGGGGAGAACTTCACACAGATAATGGTAAATGACATTGGAATCACAGAAGGTCAGTCTCAGCATGCTTACAGTGTGGGCCATGGCCCCAGCAAACCCTACCACATATGAACCAAACATCAGCAGAAAGCAGACTCTCGGGGACATGGTGACCATGTACAGCAGGGGGTTGCAGATGGCCACATAGCGATCATAGGCCATCGATACCAACACAAAGCACTCAGAATTGACAAAGAAACAGAAGAAAAATAGCTGAGTCATGCATCCCACATAAGAGATAATACTTTTTGACACAAAGTTGTTCAGCATTTTGGGGACAAACACACAGGAATAACAGAGATCTATAAAGGACAAGTTGAAGAGGAAAAAGTACATTGGGGTGTGAAGGCTAGAATTTATCCCAATTAAGGAGATCAAGCCCAAGTTGCCTGCCACAGTGAACACATAGATCCCTAAGAACAGGAAAAAAAGAGGGAGCTGGAGCTCTGGCTGTTCTGATAATCCCACAAGGATAAACTCAGTCACTGAGGAGCTGTTTCTCAGAGTCATTCTCTTCTGGTGAGTTGTCTGAGGAAAGAGGGCAAAACACAGAGTCATGACAAGCACAAGCATGGCTACAGAAAGAAGGCTCTAGCAGACAAGCCAGTGTGTAGATGCCCTCTCTTCTTTCCTCCCTCATCTACACAGCTCCCCACCCTGAGGTATGGACCACGTGTCTTTGAGAGGATCTCAGCTCTGCTGGGCTGATCATGAATTTAAGCAGTGTTTGTTAGCATGGGCAGCAAGAATTCTGTCTCTGCTTGAGAGGTGAGGGAGGAGGGAGACAGCATACCTGAACTGACTGCTCATGGACTCTCAGAAAGATACCCTGAGAACCAAGAGTACAGCCTGAGCCCACTGCCTCAGGTTCTGAGAGACAAGAGCTCTCAAGGTCCCCAGGGTACTCTCCTATTCTCTGCCTCTGTCTCCCACCTAGATAATGGATTTTCATCTGGAGAGAAAGCCAAGAGTGTTCCCTACTGCCTCTGCACATCCTGCTCGCCTCCTCAAAGACCCTCCATTCCATCTCATCTCAGGGTCAGTGTTGAGAGTAGAGACAGGGTCAATACTTCCCAGAGCCCTTGGTTGTGGGTTTCAAAGAGACCATCAGGAAAGACAGGATTCAAACCTTCACCTTCCTTTTCCAGGGCCCCACTCAGTGCTGGACCTCACGCTGTCTTTTTCCATTAGCCAGAATGAGAAAATAGTGATGCTTGTGGAGAAAGCACACAGCCTTGCATATTACCTCTTTGACTCCCTTGCGGTGCTAAGAATAAGCGCTTTTACAGAACCCCGACTCCAAGATGCTCAAGGAATATGCCACGGGTTCTGTTTGTGGATTTTCTCATATGGTCTCAGCAGCTTTAGGAAAGAAAACTAGGAACTCTCATTCTGACCAAAATCCCAGCTGTCATATTGCAGAGGAATTTAAGCTGCTTGACAATCAAGCAGCTTAAACAAGGGACCTGATTAGACACAGTTTCCCCAGGGAATTTCTCCAAGCTCTGTCTCTGTAGGGAAGGAATTGCGCTGTCTTTGTTTACAGCTTGGATTATGGTGCTTACATAGCATCTTGGGAGTGGGTGTTCCACTCAAACTTCCCTTCACTTCAGGGATTTCATGTTATTCAGTACTGAGTTTGGGGACTCATTTTTTCCTTTGTCGTTAGCTCTCAGAACCTAAGCTTGAATTTAAGGGTGAATAGCCCCAATGTTAACCACCATCTCCAAATCTCTCAGGGAGCTATGAAAGTGGGACCTCTCACAAAAAGTCAGATCAGATCTACATAGAGCACCTCAGATAAAAGGCTTCTAGGACCATGCGCTGCTCAAAACAGAAACCACACCACCTCCACCACAAACACCACCTACTTGCAACTCTAATAAGGGCCACAGACAGGCCTTTACTATATATGAAGAGATCAAAATATCACAATGCAAGAAAGCACACACACACACACACACACACACACACACACCCCCTACACAGAGTTACTCTCTAGGCGTTCAGGCTTAAGGTATAATGGGAGATGAATGTGAGGGTTTAATCCTGCTGTTATTCAGATGACAAAGCTTCTCTCCATATGATCTGCTAGATGAATATTTTAAGAAAAATTCAAAGACATGCGAGCATCTGCATTTGTAAGTTTCACTAAGGCTGCCTAAAATAATCCCAGTTCGCCTGGGACAGTCCTGACTTACACTCATTATCCCTGTATAATTATTAGTAGGAAATTTTCACCCTTTCATTCTCAGAGGTGTCTGGACTTGGACAACAAATTTCATGATCACTGGCTAAAAAGAGCAGAAGTAGCTTTTCAGATCCTTGGCCCCCAACATCTCCTAAATCCACTGACTTTCACCCCCTTTTGGACAGTCTCTGCCTCTCACCTTCCTTGCCCTCAAAGTCTTCCTTAACTGAGCCCACCCTTCTAGACAACCAATGCTATCTCTTAAAAAGAACTAGTCTTCAAAAGCGAGAAAGGCATGAACTGCAGGCTGCTTCTGATTTATATCTAGCCAAAAATCTTAGAGCAAAGAAGCACAATCCCTAGTTACCTGCCTAAAATCAGTGTAAAGGGAAAAAAAATAAAAATAAAGGGATAGGAATTACCTAGGTATAAGGAACCAGTATCAGTACATTGTTGTACATCACTGTATGTGGGTATAATAAATTGATTGGGAGTACTTAAAATTGGACATATACCTACATTTTGACCCAGTGTTCCACCACTGGGAGTATACTGAATAAAAATAAGTATGCGTGTTTACCTAAAGACCTGCCAAGAATGTGCATAGCAGCATTGTCCTTAATAGCTGCAAATTGAAAACACTCCATGTGTCAGCCAACTGTAGACTGGATAATAAATAATAGGATGTCAATAAAATGAAATTCCATCTAGTCATAAAAGATAATGACACAGATATATGTCACAAACCATTAGGGAGTGAAAGGAGCCAAGCACAGAAGAGGGCATACTTTATGATTTCATCTATGTACAGTTTAAAAACAGCGAAGCTAATCTATGGTGTTAGAAGTCACACAGCACTTCCTCTTGTCTGGGCAGGCAGGGGCTAGCAACTGGAAAGGGATTTGAAAGGTGCTTTAGGGTTGCTGGCAATGTCTGCTTCTGACAGGGTGCTGGTGACACAGATGTATGCAGTTAGCAAAAATTCATCGAGTTCTATCCTTATGTTACACTTAAACAAAAAGTTTATTTAAAATGTAAGTGGAGAACAAAAAATAAATCACCCTACCAAATTAGTTTAAGTCAAAAATTACTAAACAGCTTTGAGCTATAATTCCCCCATTTGTAAAATGGATATTTACTGCCCTGACAACTCAATATAGTAGAATGTGTAAGGGAAATAACACCATTTATATTTCTTTTCCATCTTAAGTCACTTAAAAAAAATTTTTTTAATATAAAAGGAGGAAATCAAAAGAAAAGACAAATAATGCATATGGAGTGACTGCAGAGTGCCTGGCCTTATGCTGGATGTTTTCTCATGGAATATGTTATTTATAACAACTATACAACATGCATGTGTGTGACAGATTGTATTTCCCAAGCATGGCTGTACCAATGCACACACAGATACACAGTCATACACATATACCTTGCATCCCACATACTCTTGGGACTGACACTCCTCCAATCAGAAGTTGAGGCCTATATGCCCTAACTTTGCCTCTAGGCAGAGACTTGGGATTTCTCCAATCAATAAAGTATGATGGAAGTGATGCTATGTGACTTTCAAGGTTAAGTCATAAAAGGGCAGAGCTTCCAACAGGTATGCCATGCCATATATGCATATATATATTTAGATAGATAGATACAGATATATGTGTGTGTGTGTGTACACATATATACACACGCATAAAATCTCCTCCCCCATCTCACATTTATCTCTCTTTTGGCATCCCTTAACCTTCAGGAAAGTCATGTTAAAACCCTCTAGCCTTGTCTCAAGATAAAATTGCATAATTATATGCCATAGGAACTTAATTCTTATTTATGTCACTTACCCTATAGGAAAATTGGTCTCATTACACAGTACATTATTTCACTTAAAGCTGTGGTTCCCAAGCACCTATCAAAAATGTTGAGTGCAGATTTACTGTGCACTATAAGGTAGCAAGTGTGTAGTCATTTGTCCAGCATTGAAGAGCAGGAGCCTTTTAGGGCCTACATGCCAATGAATGGAAACTGGGAAAAACACTCAAGGGAAACAGCTGGGGGCTCACCAGGACAGGTCTGGATCACTTGGTCCAATTCTCCCACATTACCCAGGAAGTCTCCTTTTGATTCCATATTTGAATGCTATTTATGAGGTTTGCTTTTATGAAGAAAACAAGCATTGCGTTTTAGTACACGTAATTCCTTACCCGCTGCATTTTCCCTTCCTGAAAGGCTTATTATGTATGCAGCAATGGTCTAACAATGGAAGAGAGAATCTTCTGTTCATTAAAGTAGACATCAATGTATTAATCATCCAACAAATATTTATTAAAGCTAGTTATTTCTAGCAGTATTGCAAATGCTCTTGTATTAGTGTTCTCCAGAGGGACAGAACTAATGGGATAGATACATGTATAAAAAGGAGCTTATTACATATTAATTCACATAATCACAAGGTCCCACAGTGTCTGCAGGTTGAGAAGCAAGGAAAGTCAGTCCGACCCAAAACTGAAGAACTTGGAATCCAGTAATCAAGGGCAGGAAGCATCCACCATGGGAGAAAGATGTAGGCTAGGAGGCTAAGCCAAGCTCTCTTCTACATTTTTCTGCCTGTGTATATTCTAGCCCTGAGGACAGCTGATTAAATTGTGCCCACCCAGATTAAGGGTGGGTCTGCCTTTTCTAGCTCACTAACTCAAAGGTTAATCTCCTTTGGCAACACCCTTACAGCCACACCAGGATCAATACTTTGTATCCTTCAATCTAATCAGATTGACACACATCATTAACCATCACAGTTATATTCAGAAAGAGTTCTCCTGATAAAAACAAAACCAAGAATTCTGGACAAAATGCTAAAAGCATCTATTTGTTCACATTTGAGGTGCCAAAAACTAAGTAAAAATCTGTGAGAGCAAAAAAGAAGAAGAAGGTAAAATTTCAGAGGGATACACAAACCTCAGAGCTAGAGTTTGCCTTTGGGGAAGTAGCAGATTCCTGGGGAGGGGGGGCAGATTTGGGGTTTAATGAGTTAGCTATGCAGGAGATAAAAAAATAAAGCCTGGAACTTTAAGCAGGTCAGAAGTTTAGGACCATTATTGACTCATAATACCGACTCCCCAGGGGGAAAAGAAACATTCTCAGTGGCTAACTTTTAGGTAGAAAAAAAGCCTACAGAGGGAGCAGACCAAGAAATGTGTCTGACTTGGTCTTGGCTCTAGAAGGGCAGAAAAAATAGTCTCTGACAATTTTTAATCACCTCTGTGTTTCAGGTAAAAAATTCATATTGTAAATATAACAATAACAAAAATTTCTTTCTGGAGAATAC